GCACTTGTTCTTTGTTATTTCTCCGATCACAAATGCAGACATGGTTTTATGTTTACGCGGCACGAAGCAATGTGTAAAAAGACAGTATAAGTCATTATAATCCGTAATTATGTCCCCATTTTAGCAACCCCTTTAACAGTTATAAATTTGACCATTATTCTTAGTTAAGCGTAAACTGTTGTAATATGCTTATGACTCGCGAATGTAATGCTCGGTTAACTGAAATAAACCAGGCTTGATGACGTATGCAACCTGTAAATGCGACCTCCGGAGGATGCAGCCTTTCGTTTGAGAAACGGCCTCTCTCTCTCTCTCATTCAGCTCAGCTTCAACAATGAACTTTTCCAATTATGCGTGCAGTTGCCATTAGGGCTGCTCGATTATGGCAAAAATCATAATCACGATTATTTTGGCCAATATTGTAATCACGATTATTTAACACGATTATGAGGGGGCCATATGACCAAAACTTTATATGAGTGATTTATTTAAAGATAGTGATACATATCAAATATATATTTCCTGTAAATAAGGTTGCTATGACATCTACATTGTAGAGACCAGCGGAATTTCAAACAAACAAAACGTCCTAAAAATTATTGAAAATAATGAAACTGTCAGTAATAAAAAAGCAAAGGACAAATACAATAGAATAAAAAGATACAAATGAAACAAACTGCGCTTTAATGTTTTTTTATGCAAGTCTCAAGCCCCCGGTTTCACAGAGAAGGCTTAAGCCTAGTCCTAGACTAAAATGTAAATCTGAGTTTCAACTTAAAGAAATTGCACTGACTGATCTTAAAACATGTCAGTGCCTTTGTTTTGTCTTAAGATGCACACCAGTAATGCTTTTTTCTAAGGCATGTTTATAAAAATTACTTAAATGTCCTAATTGAACTATGGCCTAATCCTGGTTTAGGCTAAACCCTGTCTATGAAACCGGGCCATAGTCTTCACTGTAAGAATGAAACTTTTTTGTTTCTTATTAAAACTACAAAAGTCCTTCACTCAAGAGCAGTGTGTGATTTTGAATTTGTCTTTTGTTGTTTGATTAATATTAAGCACATAGTCGCAGCAGGAAAATAGCGCACTGTCACTTTAAGAGGATCTGATTTACCGTTACACGCGTATTTTCATTCTCAACTCTTTAC